TTGGGGAGGCTTTGTTTGTCTCAGAAATAATATCTGAGGAAGGTACTAAAACGTTTTGGCATAAATGAGATGTCAAAACCAGTTAGTACACCTCTTGCTCCTCATTTCAAGCTCGGTGCATCCATGTCACTTAAGGATGATGTAGAACGGGAATACATGTCAAAGGTTCCGTATGCAAGTGCTGTTGGTAGCTTGATGTATACAGTGGTGTGTACGAGACCCGATATTTTCACAGGCAATTGGGGTTGTGAGCAGGTATATGCATGATCCTGGAAAGGAGCATTGGCAAGCTGTGAAATGGATTTTGCGGTATGTTCTGAACACCGTAGATGTTGGTTTGGTCTTTCAGCAGGACAAACAAGATGGTCAGTGTGTAGTTGGGTATTGTGATTCAGACTATGCAGGTGATTTGGACAAGCGTCGATCAACTACTGGTTATGTGTTTACATTTGCAAAGGCACCAGTCAGTTGGAAGTCCACCTTACAGTCAACAGTGGCTTTGTCTACTACAGAGGCAGAGTATATGGCAGTTACAGAGGCTGTGAAGGAGGCAATTTGGCTTCAAGGGTTGCTTGGTGAATTGAGAATGGAACAAAAGCACATCAAAGTGCACTGTGACAGTCAGAGTGCTATTCATTTAGCAAAGAACCAGGTTTACCATGCAAGGACGAAGCACATCGATGTTCGATATCACTTTGTACGAGAGATTCTAGAAGAAGGTGGAGTCATAATCCAGAAGATTCGGACCACTGAGAATCCTGTTGATATGTTGACAAAAGTGGTAACTGCGGTCAAGTTTAAACATTGTTTAGATTTGGTCAATATTGTTACAAATTAAAAGATTGTTTTTTTTAGAGATGTGTGTGGAATTTGCCAAGGTGGAGATTTGTTGGTTTTTGGCAAAAGTCTCACATTGGTTGTGTATAAGGAGGAGGGAAAATTCTTTTGTTATAAATAAAGCCCTCCTCCTCCTTAGTTAATCATCCCACAAATATAAGCATTCTTCTATTTTAAAGGCTACTTGTATTCTTTCTCTCTTTGTAATATTTCCTCTATTAGTGAAATATTTTGGTGTTCTCTTTTATGTCTATTTAATAGCTATTGTCGGGTATAGTTGTTGTCAATTATTGTCCTATTAAAATTACTTGTCTTGGTAGTTCTGTCTAAGGAAAGTGGGTTTTAAGAGGGACCATTGTGACCCCTCCTCTTTCCTGGGAATCTACCTTGAGGTGATTTTTAGTACAATCGTTTTCACACTAGTCACCTAGATAATAGTTTTCAAGGTGAATCTGTTATTGGTGGAAATTAACCCGAATTTCACAACACCAATACCATTGATCTTTATCTTCACCGAAGGTATGTGTATCAAACTACTCTCTAGATATTTATTCTTACCTAAGTACGTCTGTCACTCTGGCTATTTTTATTGAAGTATCCTTTGACACCCCTATCCATTGCATATTCGGATATGTATAAGGATACGTCTGTTCAAGTACCCTCAAAGTACTGCCAAAAAAAAATTGAACGTATCTGTTCACGTGGCTGTATTTTGCATATACCTGCGTTCAACAGTTAAATTGAGTCAGAGTAACATAGCCAAGTATAACTGTTTTCCACTGTAAATTAGATGTGATAAGCTGCTTCAGGATGGTGGGAAGGATATAGCTGTTTGTATGCCGCCAATAAGTTTGTGATGATAACTCTTTGTAGATACTATGAGTTGGTTGATACTCCCAATGGGATTTTGAAGAAAGGAAGAGAGGTTTTCCTTACAGGTTGCTATCTTCAAACTGCCAAAGAAGGATTTGGTACCCCACGGTTATTGCCTACAGAATATTTTTTGATATTATTGGATGAGGTAACTTGCAATATATGACCGATGATTTTAAATGAAAATATAAGGTCAAATCATGCCTGATATTGGGGATATTCCCTTGCTTTCAACATTTCTTTTTTCTCCACTTGCAGGAATGTAACCAGTTCTCTTTTTTTTTTTTGGCTTTGCAGGATCTGGATGGTGATGCAATCCTGATAGGTGTACAGTTTTGCTTAGATTCTTTTTCTTCCATTTCTCATGACGGAGTCAAGAATGGAGTTCCGTATTCTTGGTATGCTAGGTAGGATATATGATTTCTATCCTTCTTTTGTTTTGTATTAACCATATCCTAAAATTTTGGTGTTGCAATAGTTTTGATTTGATTCCGTGTGACTTTTTTCTCCAAAGCAATCTGTAACAATTGAAGTATGATTGCATCATGCTCATTGTACAAATATTTAATGACTGTATTTCAGATTATAACCATTGTTTCTGTAGGGTGTCCATTCATTTGTCTTCTTCTTGATAGGATTGAATCTATTGGATCACTGGAAACTCGGGAACAATGTGGTGGTTTACAGAGGAAGCAGATCACTCTTGTTGATAATGATGGTGTAAAACTAAGATTTCTCTTGTGGAATGAGCAGGTAATCCTAGCCAGTCTTTTCAGGTAATTAGAGATTTTTTTTTGGTATAATCATATGTATCTGATTCATTGTCCAATTAATTCAAGGGTAACTTTATGCATTTAGTACCTAAACTATCAGGTTTGATTCGTTTTAGTATATAAGCTTTTATTTTTATCAAAATCAAACCTAAAGTTTAGTTTTTGTTTTATTTTAGTTTGAAAAGAATTGAAAGTTTAGGTATTATAACAGACTAAAATTGATAGTTTAGGTACATAATAGGTACTAAACTCGTTAAGTTTTTAATGGTAGTATACTAAAATAAAACAAAAAGTAAACTTTAAGTATGATTTTGGAAAAATTAAAAGTTTAGTTACTAAAACAGATCAAAACTTATAGTTTAGATACTAGTTTACACTTAATTCAAATCGGTAGTTATTCTAATAATTTGATAATGTTTTTCACATGATTTAATCCTTATCATCTCCAGGATATCACAGAGAACTATGACTACCGCAAAAAGAAACTAGTTTTTGTATTTGAGCTTTTGGTTTCACAAAGGGTCAAATTCCAGAGAAGGTCCTTATACCATGCATTTTTGGTGGATTTAGTCCCTTTATTATAATTTGGTCATTTTTAGCTCTTTACTTTTCGAAATGTTTGTCTTCTGTCACGACTCATGAGGTCATTTTTCCCATTAAATTCGCTAAAAATGCATAGTACAGGGCCTTGTATATTATTTAACCTATTAGACATATTTGCAGCATTGTGGATTGTAAACCTTGTAGAAGGTTTTTTTATGTTTGCAGAGTGGGAAGTAAAAAAGGATGTTTTCGGATTCGGTTTTAAGGTTAGTAGAGATTGAAGGGAGAGGAAGGGCTCTCGTTGCGTCGCAACCTTTGAAGGCGAGGCAAATCGTTCTCAGGGATTCTCCTATCGTCGTTTACTCCGAGTTTCCGTTGGTTAAACCTCAATCTTCAGTCTCTTATTGTGAGAGTTGCTTTAGGACACTCTCCTCGTCGTCGTCGAGTGTAGTGCCGTGTCCATCATGTTATCATCATCATCTCTTTTGCAGTCCGAATTGCCTAACTGCGGCAACAGCTCTTAGTCGTCTTCGGGACTGCTCTTCTCTTGTTTCTCAACCTCTCGAACGGCAAGTACAAGCACAGTTTCTTATAGCTGCGTATAACCTAGCCCTTGTTTCCCCCTCAGATTTCCAGGTTTTGCTTTCTCTTCAAGGCCAGGATTCCCCTTCCGATGATCATAAAGTCCAATTCCTGCATTCTCTCATTTCATCGATCTGTCCTCCGTCGTCTTTATCGATTACTATCGAACTCACGGCTGCTCTATTGGAAAAAGATAAACTGAATGCTTTTGGCTTGATGGAACCTATGTCTCTACAATAAGACGGTCAGAGGTCCGTCCGTGCTTACGGAATCTACCCCAAGGCTTCTTTCTTCAACCATGATTGTCTTCCTAATGCCTGCAGATTCGACTACCTCGACTCGGCTAGCGGAACACCGACTTCATTGTTAGGATGATCCATGATGTTCCCCAGGGTAAGGAGATTTGCTTGAGTTATTTCCCTGTCAATCTTAACTACTCGGCCAGACAGAAGAGATTGGCCGAGGACTACGGTTTTACCTGTGACTGTGACCGATGCAATGTTGAAGCTAGCTGGTCGGATAACGAAGCCGAAGACATCAACGATAACGGGAACGTCGAGGAGGAAGTGGGCGAGGAGATCATGGATGAGGACAGTGACGAACGAATTGTGGGCTCCGACTTAGAACAAGGAGCCGAAGCTGATTTTCCTCATGCTTATTTCTTTGTGAGATACATGTGCGACCGGGAAAACTGCAGGGGCACGCTTGCGCCGTTGCCGCCGCCCGATGTTCTGTCTAAAGTAATGAAATGTAATGTCTGTGGCAATCTTAAGAATGAAGACGATGAGTGATAGCTTTAGGACAAGGCATTAATGTAAACTTCCATCATACATGCAATTATCTCGTCTTTTTTTTTTGAGTGATTGTTTTTCATGAGAGCTTCACATTTTGTCCCCTCAATCTCAAATTTTCAATGCTGCCTTTATTACTTCTCATATTGCATAAATCTCAAATTTTCATATTGCAATTAGGTTTATTTTAATATCTAAATTTTTAATTTTTTCAAACTACACCTAATATTTAATTTTTATTTTATTTTAATACTTATCAATTAAAACTTAACGGACTCGTAACGACGAAGATTAAATAATAAAAAGTCAGTCCATTGATTTAGAAAAATTAAGACATTTTGCAGTGAAGTGGAGACTGAAATCATGTTCAACAAAACAGTACAGATTGAAAAAAATTAAATGTAACGGCCAGCAAATCCATTCATTAAGTTTTTCATGAAATATTAAAATCGTTTGATAATATTGAAAGTTTAAGTAGTAGATACAGAATTTACCCCAAATATAAAAAAAATGATACAGTGATTTTTTACCGATACAATGGTCATCAGTGTAATATCCTTTGAATATTTTTTTTGGTAACAAAAGGAAAATAACTATCTAACTACTGTGTGTGTCCTTCATCCTGGAGCATCTTGATCACCATCTGTGGAGTTTCGTGGATTATGTGCACATCGAACTCTCCGGGAGTTGCTATCTTTGCCAGCGAGTCAGCTACTTGGTTTCCTTCACGACAGACGTGGCTGTAGTGTTCTCTTTTCTCTATACTCCGGATGTGGGATATGATGGTCTGAGCACCAATGTTTTCGTCCTTGTTGTTGAGGAGACTGTGAGCTTCTCTATTGTCCGTTTCAACCTCTAGTTGTGGAATTCCTTGGCCCCATGCAATCGTCATTCCTATGTATATCCCCCCACAATTCTGCTTCAAGAATGGAGCAGATGCCAATGTATTTGTAAAACCCGACAAACCATTTCCCTTCATGGTTTCTAATTACTCCTGCACATGTAGTGTTACCGTTGGTTGCGTTTCTCCCTGCATCTGTGTTGACTTTGAACCAATCAATTGCTGGTTTTGTCCCTATATTCCGCTTCTCCTCCATGTTTGTGGAAATTAGATTTGCTTCCTGGACGTGTGATGCTCTTTCTGATTGGTTGGCTAGGATACTCATCATTTGGAGCCTACGGCTTCTGTCAATGATGGATCCATTGTCTTCAAGGGGTGAGTCAAAAGCAACCGCATTCCTTGACAGCCAAATATTCCATATAATTGATCCGAATAGCAGATCCCATTCCTGTTCTTCATTAGCCATGTTGCATGGGTAGTGCAAATTAGTTTGGATCCAGTCACGTATATCCATGGTGAGGAAGTCATTCAAGTTTTTCTGGTTTCACTAACATGGTCCATATACTAATTGCTTGGGGACACCATCGAAATACATGGTTTATATCTTCTGGTGCATTCGCGCATATGGGGCAGCTATCATCCATTGAGAGATTTAGTTTCCGTCTCTCCTCGTTTGTCATGATCTTGTTAAGGCAAATCAGCCACATGAATATTCTGATTCTTTGCGGACCTTTGAACTTGTGTATTGTTTTTCATAGCTTTCCTTTCTGTTCTATTGTTGGTCCAATCCGTATTCCATAGTTGCTGCTATTCGAAGTATAATGATTGGTTACCGTTTGCTTTTCATCCTAATGCGTCCTCTGGACATTCATGCACCGGTCCTTTAGTTGCTGCCATTCGAAGTAGAATGTCAAACGGTAATAGGTGTTGGAATTTGTCCCAAATCCATTCTCCTGAGTGGTCAACCATTTCTGCAACTTTCTCGTTCCCTGTTGTTGATGATAGGTGTGTGGGGACATACGAAATAGTGGATCTGTATCTCTAATCCATGGATCTCGCCAAAAGTTAATGGAGCAACCATTACCCAGGTGCCATACAATGTTCTCCTTTACGTTATTCCATACTAAGGAGATTCCAGATTATTGAGTTGCTTTTACTCATTCTAGGTGATGGTATTCTTTCGTGACATTTGTACTTTGCTCGGAGAAACCGGACCCATAATGCTTCTTTATTTGTTATTACCTTAAAAGCCAATTTCATTAGGTACCCCTCATTCAGTTCTTTGAGATTTCAAAATTCGATTCCTCCTTGAGAGAGTGGAGTGCACATTGTTTCCCAGAGAACTAAGAGTTTCCCAAACAAAGTGTTTTATCAATATTTCTAACTCCATGCACGTTTTCCTTGGAAGGACTGATGTTTGTATGGTGTAATTGGGGATAGCAACTAGACTGCTTTAGCTAAAGTGATTCGCCCCGCTAACGAGAGGCATTTTGCCGACCAACCATTGAGTCTCGATTGAACCATCCGAACTAGGTAATCATATGTAGCCGATGTAACTCTGTTGTGCAGAATAGGAACTCCGAGGGATTTACCTAAATCCTTAACCTCTGTGAAGCCGAACGCATTATTTAATTGCCCTCTTAGATCCTTTGGGACGTTTTTTGAGTAGTACAAGGTCATCTTTTCTTTGCTCACTTTGTGTCCTGAAGCTTCACAAAATTGATTTAAAATTGTGCTGATGATTGATTGTTGTTCCATTGAGGTTCGGCAAAGGGTATCATGTCGTCAGCGAAGAGGAGGTGTGAAATTGTCGGACAATGTTTGGATGTTGAGAACGGCTTCCACTGTCCTTTTTGGACTGTTTTTTGTATAAAGTGAGTTAACCTTTCCATACAAGGAACAAAAAGGTAAGGCGAGAGTGGGTCTCCCTCTCTGATTCCTCTTTGCGGTTGAAAAGCATCTGCCATCGAGCCATTCCATAGTATCTGTGTAGAGACCGTGGATATACATTGCATGATTAGGATCCTAAGCTTGTCCGGTATGTTTAAATCTCTCAGAGTGTCGTCAATGAAGCCTCATTCTAATCTATCGTATGTCTTTTCAAGGTCGATTTTAATAGGCATCCATCCCTTTGTCCTACTTTCCTTCGCATAGTATGTATATCTTGGGTGGTGATGATATTATCAGTAATAGCTCTGACTGGAGCAAAATTTGTTTGGTTTTCTGAGACCCAGTCAGGAAGGAAAGGTTTTAATTAATTGACAATGATTTTTGTAATGGCCCTTATAGACCACATTGCACAAACTTGTTTGATGTGTTCTGGCGGAGCTATTATCGGAAGCAATACCTGGAGGATTTTGTTGAGTTCAGGGGGAATCGTACTGTTTTGAAATATGCCTTCAATGTATTTACAAATCGAGTCTCCCACAATGTCCCAGTTATGCTGGAAGAAAAAAGCGTTTAGGCCATCTGGTCCAGGTGCCTTGAGAGCTCCCATATTAAAGAACGTTGCTTTTATTTCTTCCTTTGTGACCTGCACTCCCAAAGAATTAGAGGCCTCGGTAGATAATGCTTTGAACATTCCTTTGTCATCAAGGATGTTGGGAGTCGTCTGTTGATGTAAAAAGGTCGTGAAAGAAGTTACAATCCATGTCCGAGAGTTCCTTTTGGTCGGTGCACCAACTTCCATTTGCTCTTTTTAGTGCTGAGATAGTATTTATTCGTCGACATGCAAGGGTTGTAGCGTGAAAGAACTTTGTGTTTCTATCACCTCTAAGTACCCATTGGGAGCATGATTTTTGTTTCCACAGAGATTCCTCAAGCTCTAGCACTTTCATGAGTTCCTCTCGGAGTTGAGATTCCAAGTTGATTAGGTATTCTGAGTGTTTCTGATGTAATTTCTTGTCGATGTCTCTAAGTCGTGCTAGTAGCTGCTTTTTTCTTTTTCCTATGTGCCCGAACACGTCCCTATTCCAATCGGCAGATGCTTCTGTAAAGGCTTGTATATTTTCCAGGATGTTGCGATCATTTACCCATGTCGGCCTCAGGAATTGTTTAAATTGCTCGTGCTCTTGCCAGGCAGTTATAAAGCGAAAGGGTCTATTTCTGTTTCTTTTCCGCTCTTCCGTGGTTTGAAGCAGTAGTGGTCTATGATCAGATCCTATTCTTTCAAGATGCTTGACGGTGGATCCTGGAAATTTATCGAGCCAGCTTGGATTACCTAAGCACCCATACAATCTTTGTCTGAGGTTGTTTCGCTGCCATGTATACGGTAGACCTATGAATCCCAGGTCTGTGAGTCCTGAGTTGTGTATGAAGTTTGCGAATTGCTGCTTATTCCATGACTTTGTTGTGATCCGCCCGTTCAATCTTCGGAACAAGTTATCGCGTTGAAATCACCCTCCAGTACCCAAGGGGTGTCTTCGCCTGGATCAAATTTGCTTAGTTGATCCCATAGATGTTTACGCCTTCCTCTTTGAGGGCTTGCGTAAACAGCCGTAAATTGTCGCCATTTTTCGTCTTCCTCGCTTCGAAACATCCCATTGATAAATTGGTTGGAGACATGAAGGATTTCCATGTCGATGGAATCTCACCACATTAACCAAATGCCCCCTCTAAATCCGTAAGCTTCAATTCTGAATGTTGAGAAAAACCAAACTTCGAGATGACAATAACTGCGGGTCTTCCTGAGCTTCTGGTTTCAAATGGTTCCACCACTTTTGGTTGGTGTTCCTTGACTAAGGCTTTGAAAATTCTGCGAAAAGTTGGGCTTACAGCGCCTTGACAATTCCAAAAGATGATAGACATGATTAAAGTTCGAGATGGTGTACCCATACTTACTGTTCAGAATGGTGATCACTAGCTTCCTTAACTTCCACATCAACTAGGTTGGACAAATTGGTATTCATCGGTTCGTCATCACTTCCAGAGGATAATTCCATGGTTGTTTACTGTCTTACTTGTATATTTTGTTTCATTGTGCTCTCATTACCATGTGATGTATAGGCTTTTATTTGTTTTGAAATGTTCTTTGCCCAGTCAAGGGTGGTAGTCTTCAATGAAGAATGTGATGCTGCGGCTTTTCCAATTTTCACACCTTTGTTCCTAGGATCCCGATTTGATTTATTTTGGTCCTTTCGTGATAGATCATCTTTGCTACCCGCTGATGTGCCTTGTTCGAAACCTTGTTCCAGGATGGAAATAGCATGGTGGTCTCCTTTTTTGCTCATTCCACAGTCGAAACGATGTTCAATGGCAGCTTTCCTGGCTTCTTTTGGTCTGTGGTTTTTTTCTTTTTCTCAGGATTTGACATCAGATATGTCTTGTTCTTTGGGAAGGTTTTAATCTGGTGATCGATTTGGATTCGGTCAGTTGACTTGGGGTTCGTAGTGGTTTGTTGGATTTCAATGTTTGACTCTTCTGTGTGGCCTCCGTCTTTCCCTTGGGTTGTATTTTCTTCACTGAGTATTGCAAATCGGGAGCCCTTGGGAGTGTTTCCCGAGGCGGCTACTACGTTCCCAGCGTTTGCTGTAGGGTTCACCTTTCGGCGTTCGATTTGCAACCACCATCCATGGTCCATGCAGTTCCTTTGTTTGTGGATTCAGGTTTGGTGTTTGGACTTGCTGTTCTTCCATTACTTCCATTGCCTGATTGGTTGTTGGGCAGGTTTCTTTGGTATGGCCATAGATGCCGCACGTGAAGCAAATCTGTCGGAGTCCCTCGTATTCCAATTTTTGGATGAAATCGTCGATGCCAATGCAAGGTCTTAGATGTTTATTAAAGTCAACCATTACGGTAATTCTTGCGAACTTGCCTCTTAACCCCGCCTGGGTATTATACTCGACTTTAATTACCTTCCCGACAATACAAGCGATGCACCTAAAGAGAGCCTTGCAATAGTATCTGTAGGGTAACCCCAGTAAGCGAATCCATACGATAACCTGTAAGGGATGCCTTTCCAAAGTCTAGAAGGATCTACTCCAAAGATAATTACCATAGATCGTCCAAGATCCTTCGGTCATTACGTCGTTATAGTCTCTCACGTCTTCATGTTTAACAATATAATAGTTGTTCTCAAGGTCAACAAGTTGAATTTCTCCTCTCGGCCGCCATAATGCGTGTACTCTATCTAATAATGTTTTGTATCTAATCAATCGACCAAGAAGTCGCACTACGACTGATTTGCTCATGCTCTTGTCGATTTGATCGTGCACTTTATCGGTGAATATAATTGTTGGAAAGTCTCCGGTTACATCACTGTGCAGTCTTCATCATTGACTACAACTTCATTCATGTCGAGATCAGTTTCGAAGTCTGTTATATCCTCCGAGCAAGGTTTTCTGGCCGCTATTGTCGCGTATGAGGCTCTTTCTTTTGTAGTTTGCATGACGCTGAGGCTCTTTCTTGTGTAGTTTGCATGACGCTTTTTTCCTCATTAATTGTTTGCATGGCATTCGAATCGAAAGTAGTATCCGTTGTGGTTGTCTCTGTGTTTCTTGGTTCCATGTCTTTCTT